ATCTGGACCATTTTCTGTTGTTTTTAAAATTTATCCAAAATGTCATTTGAATACTCCAACGTATTTATTTATTTTTTATCTCGCTACAAAATCTACTTTTTACACAATATAAATGAATTGTTTTAATAGAATACTTGAAATACGATATGAGATAAGTAAATATTTTTTACAACATTCGGATTAAAACTAAAATAAAAATGGTACACTTTTAATACATTTTTTCAAATTCTATAGTAGTATTTATTACTTATTTTATAATACTTGAAAAATATACAGTAATTTTGACTGTTCTCACTAACTCATCGAACTCTTGTGTCTTAATTTTTTTTTTTTTTTTTGTAAGTGTATGTACTTGATCGTTGGTTCACTGACAAAGAGAAAAGAATTGGAAACGTGTATCCGTTGTTTTATGTTAGAATATAGAAATTATTATAATGACGCATCCATATTATTATTATTCATTATTCAAGTAATATATACATGAATATAGTTGCAGAATAATTAAGTTGTATTACGCCAATTGCTTTGTCATGAAATAATTTTATTAGTTTTAAAATCTTAAATTTTTTTTTTAAGTTTTTAAATTATTGATTAAAATTATAAGGTATGGTCTAATAAGTCTTATTAAAATTAATGTATAGATAAGTATAGATCATATTCAAACGTTTAACTTTGATAATAGATTAATTTACTCTAATATTTAAACTAATGAAATACAATTGATTTTGACGAGTGAAAATTTATGTATTTGTAAGACGGAGACAACAAATAGGTACCTAGCGTCTTCTTAAACCTGTTAAACGTTTTATCGTTGATAATATATATTATATCTATTTAATGGTATTAGTGAATTTCTATTTTGTTTTAAATTAATACAATATAGAATAACATTCTTGTAGTGTTGATCGTTTCATTAGAACGTTATATAATCACTTGTGAGTTTAGTTGCCTAAATTTTTTAAACCGGTATACGTTCTGACTGTTATAATGTAATTTATATCTAATATTAAATAATTACATTAGTGGTATAACCATTGATATATAAAAATAACAAAATATAATATACAATAATAATAATAATAATAATATAATAATATTATACTCTAATATACTATAATATATTATAAAATCAATGGTATAATGTACACATATTATCCTTACAAAATTAATTTGAAAGAAATCGATTTATTATTTATTTTGTCCTATGAATTGATAAACAATTTAGTAGTGTTTGTTGTGTCAGAGTGTATGTATACTTATAATTTATTAGATTAGGCGATTTGTGTAATTCGTTTGTGCGTAGTATATTATCTAAACAATATCAAAGGTACTTATACGTTATTGTCGTTATTTGTTTGTTTCAGTCGCGTCATAAAAACGGATTATGAAAAAGAAGTTATGAGGTACGCGACGAAAGTTACTTGTAACGCTCATAAGTCCGTGATGACAAAGTGCAAGCCAAACATGTATGAATACCAATGCGAAGCAAATTTCCTGCATTACGCATATTACGTCGGGGGGTGCAGGCATGTGGGCTATAACAACATATGCTGTTCGGGCATGAACGGTGCCATTCTGCATTACGGACACGCCACCGAACCCAATTCTAAAAAGATCCACGATGGCGATATGTGGTACAATATTATAATATTAAAATTAAAAATACAATATTAGATTTTGTTTATACTTATAGATTTTGAAGCATGAAAATGTATTTAAAACAATCATGTGTTTATGTACGGGTATACCTATTAAATAATGTTTAAGTATCTATTTATATTATATTGTGACGATAAAAAACACAATATTCATAAAAAATAATTAGCGATTCTTATCGTTTATTGTCATTTTTTATATACGTTCCATTATACGGATTAAAAGTCGTACAGAATTACCATGCTGTGTAGATATGCGCGAAAAATTGAATAAAAAAATTTCGTTTCTGACATCAATGCTACGATTATATTCTATAGGATACAAAGAACACTGTGCGAGATCGATTCGGATTAAATTTAATAAATATGTAAATCTGAAGATTTTTACTTGTATTTTGTGCAACGTATTATGTCGATAAGCTATATTAGTTATTAGGTTATACGATTTAATATTATATTGGTTGTCAAAATAAATATATTAAACATGTATATTGTATTTGTTATTTTTAGTCTGTTCGACATGGGAGCATCTTATTATGGCTATACGGCGGATGTGACTGTTTCGTTTCCGGCTAATGGAAAGTTTACTGATGATCAACGTGCGATTTACAACGCTGTGCTTGCGGCCAGCCGTGCTGTGATGAACGCAATAAAACCAGGTATACATTTGTTAAGCTTTTTATGTGAGTTTACTCGAATTATTCTAGATTGACCCTCAACTTGCCCACTATGATATATTTTTATTAAATGAAAGTTACTTAAATTTTCTTTAGATTAAAATTATTATTTACTCAAATTAGGAAGCCGATTCTTTAGTACTCGTATTGTTTCTAATTTTTTTTTATTGATGTAAAAATTAGTGGCTGTAATATATTAATTTGTAACTAAATAATTACTTATCATCATTATTATTGATATCATAATATAAAATGTTAATATTTTGATTGATTTAATTATTATTTAATTTATGAAGAGACTTTTTGATTCAGTAATAATGTGTTAAGAGTTATTGTATTCAATTAAACGGTATTTCAGTTTTGAAATATTGTTCTTGTTAATCTTAGTTTCATGTTGTGTAAAAAATAAAGCTATATATAAGTTAGGTATTATAATTGAGGCTTATTTTTATTCTTTTGATAATAAGTTAGAAAATTTATATGATTTAGTTTGCTTTAATTGCTTACATTTATCTTTTAATGTATAATTTGTGTATAGAGAATAAAACCTCCACGGTGGCGCATTATAACTATTGTTTAATAACAGTACAAAAAAAACTTTTTTCATCCCAATCTACTAAACACAAGTATCCATTATCATTGGTTGAAGCTTATAATATTAAAATAATATGGTTTTAGGCGTTTCTTGGGTGGATATGCACATATTGGCTAATAAAGTTATCCTAAGAGAGCTGCGCGAAATCGATTTACTTCGTGGCGACATCGATGAAATGTACGAAGCCGGTCTCGCTGCAATATTCCAACCACACGGGTTAGGGCATCTACTGGGAATCGATGTGCACGATGTTGGTGGTTACTTGGAAGGACACCCAGACCGGCCGCTTAAGCCAGGCGTCAAGGCCCTGAGAACGGCCAGAAACTTGGAAGTGGGCATGGCACTTACTGTTGAGCCAGGATGTTATTTCATCGAACCGGTATAACAGTATATTTTTTGAAATTTGTTTTCAGTTTTATACACTATAATGCACCCTTGATGTTTTGCAAATTGTTTAGCCGTATACACACGGAACAGTGACTACTAGTGAGTGGAGAGGAGGTTGGAGATAATCTTCTTCCCAACATTTTTTGGATAGGCAGTTTATTTTGAAGTGCTTTGTTTTTTTATGGTCAGAAAAGGTCACACAATTTCTATATTTACTTCTCCCCAAATTAATTTCTTAGTTTATCTATGCTTAGGAAAAATATCACGATTTTAAACTTTATCGTGCAAATGTTTTAGCTGTTAAAACGAGCTCTTGATGATCCAGTATTATCCAAGTTTTTGAACGAAAAAGTACTGAAACGGTTTTGGAAGTTTGGCGGCGTGCGTATTGAAGACAACATTTTTGTTACTGAACGTGGAATTGAAAACTTCACTCCAGTGCCAAGGACGTAAGTTTATAATTTGTAGTATAGGTTTTTGTTCTTTTATTGATGAAACATCGAAGTTTATTTACGTTTTCTCATATCGGTATAGAGAAAGATCACGTGATCTGTATACAATAGCGGGTGTTGAGCCAATATTATTAGAATAAAAATATCGTTTTCTGTTGTGTTAAACGATGAATAATGATAACTAGGGTCAGATTTTTTATAAAAATTGGTATGACGTGTTCTTTGTCACGTTCTTTTAAAAATATATGTAGTAGGTTATGTTCATAAATCGCCTAATATTGACATAAATGATTTATTTTTTTATTCTGTATATTTTTGCATATTTTAAGAACAATGCGTATTATTAAATATTTTAATTATTGTAAATAAGAAAAATTCATGTTTTATGATATGAACATATAAACGAAATTAGTGTAAAAGGCTAGATACAATTTTGTATCATTATATGATTCTAATTTAAATTTTATAAAATAAATTATTTTGAAAATTTATTAAAAACGCTTTATATTTGTTTAAAAATTAGATTGACAAAAATTGATTTAGCTTAAATTAAAATACAGTTATTTGATTGACTTTAAAATTATAAAATGCAACTTTTTCACTCGACGATAGTGTGGAAAATAATTGGTAATTTCATTGTATATTTCATTATTTTATATCGGATATAAATTCTAGCTTTAGTTGTTAAAATTAGTTATCAATAATAATTATTGTATTTTCATATCTAATATTGTAATGTATATCACACTGTTATTGACGGCTAGGTAGAATAAATTTTTTTTAATATTGTTATATTGCTCGTTGAGAAAATACTGAACAGAGACTACTAAAATCGTTTTATAATTTACTGTGCAGTAACTATACAGCAGGCAATGTTAATTTATATGCGTTTAATTCATTTTTTTTTTTTTGTGTTAGTGTTGAAGAAATCGAAGAGTGGATGAGTAAAAAAGAAATGGTCGCTTAATTCTATGTCATCGAAGACGACACGTTTACGCAATTTCATATTGTTAATAGTTAAACGATATTATTTATTTTAATCTAATAATCAAGCATAAAATGTTTAAAAAAAATTATACTTATTTTCAGAATTATTGCTCAATGTGTTTATTTATATACTGTTTATTATATTATTATATGGATGTATAATTTTGTTAAAAATTACATTTTAGCTTCAGTGATAAACTCAACAAATTAATTTAATATATTTTATGAATATAGTATAGAAGTGATATTATAATAAAATGTGTTATACATTTTTTATTATACCTAATAATATGTACATTTTAGTTTTGGGTATTTATGGATTTCATCAATCGCGTTACGAGTGTGTTATAAATTAAATCGTATACATTTTTTTATTCGTAACGCTATATAAAATAAAAATATAAAAATCAACAGTCCGACGCCAACTACATCTAATAAAAAATATTGATAAAAATCATAATCTATTGCCGGAGATGCGGTATTGGTCGCATTGCCGTGTGTGATGACATATTCGGTCCAAAACACAGCTGTTTCCAGTGGACTAGTTGGCCTGTCCCTGAATCTTGCAGACAACTCGGATGCCTTTGACCGGTATCTTAAATCAATTTCACAAAGTTATAATATTGTGTACATATTGCAATGGTTAAGTGTAAAAATAATTTATGATAGTAATTGGTATGTATTTAGTGTTGATTTTAGGGGTTATAAATAATATCAAGCAAAGGCTCACTTGCTGTCCGTGACGATGGCTTGAATGCTTTTGATCAGTTTTTGTGTGGTGATCAGTCGGTGATCGAGTCTGATGGCTATGCCTTTTGCAACACAATTGGCGACGTTTGACTGTTGATCGCCGAACACAGGTATACCAATCATCGGCACTCCAAAGTACACGGACTCCATAACGCCCATGAGGCCACCGTGCGTTATAAACATCTTGATGTTCCTGTGACCTGTGAAAGCACAATTATAATAATTATAACTATAATAAAACGCGAACACAGTAGTTTTGTATTAATAATAGCCTATCCACAACGCCGTATGATCAAAATATAATATATTATGAACAAAATATGATATACCAAGTGGTGTATAATACGGACTCAGAATTAGGACGTTTCTTTTGGTATGTTAGCAGTTATTTTCTTTTAATTTATAACGATAGGAGTTTTAACCTTTTTCCTCTTAAATCAAATGAATAACACTCTAAAATGGTCGATCTCAGTGTTATGCTATAACCGACAATCGTATTTATATACGGTTTTAAATTTTTTGTAGTGTAGGTATAGGGATGTAGAATTTACTCAACCACCACATAGTTTTTCTCAACAAATAGTCATACTTTAATGTATTTCAATTATATTTTGTAGACGATATAGTATGCAATTATCAGTATAACGACTACGTTTCCGTCGTGAGTCTTACTCAGAATCTGCTGTTGGGGCATCCATTTGGACACTTTAATCCGTTTGGATATCAATTCACCCTCATATTTCCATAGAACGCAATACGGTAGTGCTTCGAAAGCCTGCACGAACGCCGTTGTGAATTGAACTGAAAACGACGATCCCTTCAACAACGAGCCAAAAGACACGTAAACGACGCCTTGGTCACACAAATCGCAGTAATCTGTCCATTCCTATTACATCACCAACACATAAAAATTTAAATAAATAGTTTGTGACTATATAATTATGTGATAGGGGGTTTACATATTTTATTGAGTGAATTTACTACGAGATAGCCGGTCACTACCAATGTCGTTATGTGGGAGATGCGCACCGCCAGACAGATCGTTAACCGGTCGCCACCCGCTGTATTCTCTTTTAAAACGGAATATACGAATGTCCGATAGACAAACCTTGGATAGCGTAACACTTCAGATTGTATTAAATTGCTTCGTAAGACCCGGTTTTACATACAAACAATGATGGTGTTGTATTCCAACAGATACTTCAAATATTTTCAAAGATAAATAGAATTTGGTCGTCAATCATCTTAACTTGGACGGTAGAAGTTAGTTTTTTAAAACGTTTTCACATTCCTAATATAATTTAATGTTTCGAATTTTTTCTATCCGTTCCCCTCGAGATTCCACTGCACAATACGAGTTTACCGTGAGTATAGGCAGGTACTTACATTTGCCGCGTTTTGCAGTTCCGCGGGCTGTGTGATGTGCAAGCCGCCCACCTCTATCGCGTTGGGCACCGTTGGACGGGGCTGAGACAGGCTGTGGTGGCCGTTGACCAGCACGAGCGCGGTGCGCCGCCGCGCTATTTCCGGAACGGACGGCGTACCGCGCCCGAAGTGCCGCCGGACCAGTTCGGTGGACGGGTCGTCGGAGAAGGCGTGGTAGCCGACCGCGCCGAAGTGCGTGGCCAGCGTGTTGATTAGCCGCTGGACGAACGACATGTCGTGGCCGGTATACTCGAGCAGGTGGTTGACCAGGTACGCGGGGTTCTGCGGGTTGGCCACGCGCCGGTTGAGCTGCGGCGAGTAGTCGGACGTCCGGACGGACACCAGCGGTGCGTCGTACGCGTGCGCAAACGCCGCGAAACAGTCGGTGGAGAACGCTTCGGTGAACACCACGTCGAATGCGCCGGGCCCGCGGATCAGCGCACGGACCCGCGGGTGCTCGAAAGTGGCCTCGCACACCCGGTGGTTCATCTGGCACAGGTTTCGGAGCCCGGTAATCGGGTCCACTTGGTGCTCGAACTCATCGGTCACGTTCATCTCGCTGATGACCGGCGGCAGCGCGTCCGACACGTCCACGTCCACGTACCGGCCCGCGCCGCCGCCCCTGTCTTTGCGTCGCGGGAACGGGCTGATCACGGTCACGTGGTGACCGCGCTGCGACAGGGCGACCATCAGCGGTTCGACCATGGCGAAGTGACTGTAGCCGTTGTACGGGAACACGGCCAGTACCCTGGCGCCGTTGGCCGCGGACGTACACGTCAGCAGCAACGCCGTAACCGCGGTCACCGCGGCCGCCCGTAGCCTTACCTCCCAATGACCAGTGACGGGTTTTACGACTGCAGCCGCCATCTCTGTGCGGAAATGATATTTATGTTAGGATTACGTTATTTATATACAATATCATAAGACCACGAGAGGCAAAACTTCGTTATAAAATCGAATTTCCAGGAGACGTATGCCCCCGTACAGTCAACATTTTCATAAACGCTCAAAAGACCGCCCAAAAATAGGACTAATAGTTTTGGAGAGAAAAATACTCTACGCGTGATCAGATGTTTACGTGTGTCGATACATTACGCAGTACTCGGCTAGTGATGCGTGGACCGCCCAGGGGCAAAATATTTATGATGTTCAAAGTTACAGTTATTTTTTATTTTACTCTTATATTTGTTCTTCAAAATTTGTTTCATTGGGTCGATTGCCCAGCTTTAAACGTTGGGTACACACCGCTCTAATACGAAAATTCGTAGGCAATTTTGATTGTTTATTATTTATTATAAGAGTTAAAATGACACATAACTTTTGCACACTTAATTATTTTCTGCGCTATTAGATTATATATAACAAAAAAAAATAACAATATTTTTCTATCATTTCTTTCGTTTTAAAGAAGCAATAAAACTATCGGAAGTCGTTTTTGACAATAGCACAACCCTTATTTTTATTCGTTTGACATTTAGATGCGTTTGAAACACTCACATTTCTTTTTTAATATGATAGTACAAGAATTTTATTTTTGACTGTGGAAAAATGGTTAAATAGAAATGGGATGATAATAAAAAGTATAAATGTCTAGTCCAAGACTGTGTACGTATATTATTTATAACAAAAAAAAAATATATATATATATATCTAGTGAAAAAACGCACGTACTTGTCTTCGCATTCTCGTTTATTACCAGGAAATTAGACGTCCCCTGTAACTTGGATGATTATTGCTGAGAATGATTTTCGTAGAAATTCCGATTCACCAGGATAGAGTGTGATGAATAAAAAGAAGGTTGTATATTGACACTGCGACAGTGTACCTCAAATATCATCTGTAGTGCAGTCTGTTTCACGAAGTCAACGACAAACGCACACTGCATGTGTAAATACTGTATCAGTTTAACGAATCGTCCGTACGGTTGTATCGCGGTCATTCGTTGTACCAGTTATGTAAAAACACGTCGACCCGGTTCTAATATGATATAATATATTGTAAGTAGATACATAGTATTAGTATATACTATAGTTTGTTAAGTTTTAATTTAACACGCAGTGCCGGATTTATAATTTGAAATTCACAATAATTTTATTATTTTGAATAATATTAAGTATTTAGTATTTTCTAAAAAAAATTTGGAAGCCCCTTTTCTGGCTAGGTCATGGTTTCCTCTTTCCCCTCTAAGATCGATTCTGATAGTGTGTGTATAAACTTATAAGATCCAAGTAAACCTTGGTAAATCATACCATTATAGTCGTGTGATGCCCTGCATAACTATTTTTAGTGTAAGTGTGTAACTACTGTACATGAGTACCTATATCATATATCTACTAAACGTATTACATAATCTATACGTTTGTGAATCGTTATTGCAGCTACGCATTATACAATTATACAATAATATGTTAGGTTAGATTTAAAATAGATCTCATATGCATCACGTTTAATGGCAAACACCATAAAAAGTTATTTTATATTTATCATATTGTCTAGTCGACAATGATATCACTGGGTAAGATACGAATTCGACGGAATAAAGATGAAGAGGCTCATCTAAATTCTGGCATGGATTAATTGCGCCTAAAACAAAATTTTTATTTAGGGTTAGTGTACCGATTTTGCTTGTATTTAAATTTTCCTATCTTCAAATATAAAAATATTATTGTTCAATCTAATTCCATTAACATCGACACAAAAATGCTTATAAATTAAAAACTTATTTATTGATTAATTAATTACTGGTTTAAGTGACTAGTTATAATATATTTTATAACAGTATCGGGAATTTTACAAAACATTATTATTATTACGCACATTTAATCGTAGGTACAAATATGAATTTGAGTTATAGACGAAAATAAGGTTTCATTTTCGTTGGATATTTATCAGCCTAATAATTGTTTCATTACACAATATATACTGTATTATATATATATGATATCACATTAACACATTGATGATATAACCGTTACTTATATCTTTTTGTTTAGTATTAGTTCGAGTTGTTTGACATTACAATATGGATTGTTTTAAGCAAGCTCTTAGTGAAAAAGGTAAACCGTTGTTACTTCTCGATGAATTTAAGTTTCGAAAATGTACTAAATCAAAAAATGAAATTAAGTGGAGGTGTACAGTTAAACCATGTCCTTAAAATTTATTATTTGATGAAAGTGAAACAGTGCTTTTAAAATCTAACTATAATCGATGTGTGTATTAATTTTATATATAATTATAACTAATTAATAAGTTTTCATTAAGTATTTTAAAATGTATAGAGCGCAATTGTTATTTGTTATATAAAATAGTAATTTTAAACGCAATAATTGGTAAACTCTCGTAAATTACACCGTTTGCGACCTTTTTTCATGTATATTCTACCAATTCATTTTTTATTTGAAAAAAAATCATTATTCCATCGATACGTTTTTTTACCTGAAAAAACATCTTCAGAGTCTAAAAACTAAAAATACTAATCCAGTAGCAAATTCTAAGCCAGTCACCTACTTTGGTTTTTATTTTATTCTTTTCCGTGTGGTTAGAGTTTTTTAAATATTGTAAAATATATTTATCATACATTTAATAAGACCAATAAAATCTAAAAAATTACCATATATCTATAAATAGTTCAATAAGTGTGCTAAAATGTCTTGAAAATTATGCCATAACTAGTGAAGTAGAGAACAGTAATAATGGTGAAATTTTTATTATCTATGGTTATTTTATTTTGTTGTCGAAAACTGGCGTTACGTAAAATATTCTTGTTGTTCCTTCTCTTCTTAACTTGATTAAATTGAAATGTACCGAATATTTTTTGTTAAAGTTTTAACTATAAATCTGATTAAATAGGTACCATGGGTCATCCTCAACAATAAAATTAGACATGAAAAACAAAAATAAATTATTCGTTATTGTGAAAATATATTTTATGCTTCGCTTAGATTCTAAAATATATGTTAACGGTAATCAAACATTACATGCATACTGCTGGTGAGTTAAGTGGCTATACCCAGTGTCTATTTCAGATTTTCTATCCGGGAAGGGGGATATCATACATTTTGAAGGAGGTATAATAAGATAAGAGCAAATAATGGAGGGAAGTAAAAATAAATCTAAATTGTATACACAATCATTTTTGTAGATTTTGTTCACACAAGAAGTGAGCTTAATTAATAAGTAACTGCATGTACAACAATACAACCTATAACGTCTAATCATAATATTTATTTTATTTTATTTTTGACGTAGTAAATCTTACATTTTTTCTGGGGTGAGGGGGTAAACATTTTTTTTCAGAGGATAATACCCCTCCTCCCAGTTACCCCTCTGAAATAAACACTGGCTACATCTACTCTCTTCTCCAGTATACGAATAGATGATAACCGTGTTCGGTAATGATGAAACAATAATCGCATTGTATTTCTGTGGTGACTATAGATAATTTTCTATTGTTATGTATGGCGGGTTTAGGGTATAAACTGCAGTATAGGTACCATGTTTACTAAGTAAGAACGTTGCACCGCAGTGCAGTGGTGTGTGATATATCAATTTGTAACGTTCGTTGGAATGTAGGTAATTCAAAACAAATTGTATAAATTAAATTCATTATAATTGCGCATAATAATAGAATAATATTGTATCAGAATGAACATCGACCGATTGTTGGCGACAATAAATTTCGATATCTGCGGTAAAGTCGAAAAACGCGAACGCGACCCACATTACACCACCACAGGGATGCCTCGAACTACGCAACGTATCTATACAGCATAACGATGGGGTTTTGCCTAGAGGTGGATGTAGTCGTCGTGGGTGGAAGGGTATGTACAATTTATAAATTATTATACACGGATCCACATCAAAGGGGCTCATCTGCAGCGGGCAGGCGTCCCATGGCGTCTTCGGTGGTCGGGTGGCGATCGCTACTGCAGCAGTCGGCGAGCGAGTGTAGTATAATATACGATATGATTCAGCAACCGTGCTCACCCCTAATTTTTCATTAAATAATAATTTTTTTCAAATTTTGTCTTTTGGAACTTTTAAATATATTTTAAGATTATATTTTCGAATTTTTAAGATTTCTTGTACTATTTATGGAGTGTTCTGCGGCGATAAAAACTTTTGTTTTACAAATGAGAACTATTTTTTTACTATAAATTATTTATTTTATTGGATAATTATATGTTATTATTTTTTTTTAATTTTGATGTACCGAAATATGATTTAAGACGAACAAATAGCTTTTTAGTTATTAAAATGTTTAAATTAAGGATAATAGTCCTGAAAATAGTTTTATAAAAACATAAAATAGATGTAATATCAGATATAGTATATTTTATTATATTATTTGGACCATTTTAATGAACTATAAATATATTTATCGATTAATATAGATCATTAAAATTTCAAAGCAACCGTAGTCCCTATATTTTTCAAACTCATTATCACGGAATTATTCTTTAGTACTCAGAGTTGAACAACTCAAAACCTACTAATTGTTCGTATTTTGATTTCGATACGTCAAGATTTTCAGGAGAGTCATTCGCCAAGTAATTAAACGGTAGACAAGGCAGGTCGCGAAGACAAGAGCTCGCATTTCTACGGGATCATTCCTCGAGTCGTGGAAAAAAAAATCTCAGATCGCACTCGAAAATACGGACGTCAATATTTAAAAGTTCAAAATCAAATCCCGAACGCTGCTGGAGAAAAGCCGGCAGGGGCGGGGAGGGAGTGCGCTCGGCAGAATTAATACCTGCGACGACGAGATGGCGGTGAGAGGGGGTGAAAGCGATTGGTCTGCACCATTATACGGCGGCGTCGTGCGGTCGAAATTGAGTAACCGGCCGCCGTCGCGAGTCGATTCGATCGTGCTGGGAACGCCATCTGCTCGTCAAACAGCTGTGCGCGCCTCTGCCCGTCGGCCCTGGGAGGCCGCTGGCGCGCGGCGGCGTGTTCCCGTCCGATCGATTTTCGCTCTCGAGCGGCGCGGTCGATGCTCGTGGCGCTGACCGGCAGCGATGGCAGCAGCGCGCGCGTGCACCGTCACAGTCCGGGACTGGACCGCCGCCGCCGCCGCGAACTCGCGACCGACGGAGCCAGACCGCGCGCACGCAGCACCGTACACCGCCGACCATCGTAGATCCGCGCGCCGTACAGCCACGTTCACCGAATCGTTTTTCACGCTACAACAGTCACTGTTGCTGCCATTGCAGGCGAAGGATTAAAAACATCGAGATTTTCGTGCCAGACTCCCGCGGTCAAATCGTGCGCCGCGCACCGCCAAGTTTCCGGAGCTGGTGGCGCCTCGTTTGCGCTCGTTCAATCGCCGTCCCGCCGCCGCCATGCCGACCCGCTCGCTGCCGTATACGCACGTCATCTACTATTATTATTATTATCGTCAGTCAGGCATCGTAGCGTCGTACTGCAGAGCCGACAGACCGCGCACACAACCGCGTCCTATATCACCGGCGGCGTGGACGCGGGGCCTCGAACACCGTCCGTCGTCGGACTGCAGCGAGCAGAGTCCGCTGGCCCGCGTCCGGCGGCGTGCGTGCTCGCTTCGGCCCCGAACGCGCTAGCGAGCGAGGGCGCGCGCGCACATCGCCGCCGACGGCGCACGCAGTGAACGCGCGCGCGCGCGCGCGCCCCTCTCCCCTGTCTGCTCTGCGGCGGCACACTGCACTTGGCGAACCACCCACGACCACCCCGGCCATCCCTGCGCCGCGCGTTCGTGTGCCGGCGGCGCCAAACACGGTATATAATACGAGCGGCACGCGTAACAAGTATAAATGGTAAACAATGGCCGGCGACCAGTCCGGGCGCAGGTAAACGCATCGGCCGCGACCCGACGAACAGACGTGGACGACATCATCGCTGCTGCCGCGGCCGCCGCCGACGTCGCAAGTACGTATTCGCATCGTGTGTATATTATTTTGTATATTGTGTAAGCGACATCGAGACGTGTACCTACACCGCGGTCATGTCTATGCGGGTCGCAATAATTATGTGTGTCATATCATTATTGTAATAACATTATGTATACTCGTCGGACGGCATAAAGCGGCGGGACCGCATACGACGCGGCGACGTCCTGCGCTCGTCGTCACCCGGTACCGCCGGCGTTGCTACATAATATCGATGAATGACACCGCATTACGACTTTATAATATAATATCGTTGTTTGATCAGCTGCTCTCGTTTTGATGTTGAAATCAATCTCTAGGCCGTTCGCGTCGTAACGTTTCGCGTTAATTTTTCTTTCGTCGCAGCCCCGTGTTATTATCGTATAATTTTGGTAACGAGAGACGTTTGTGTTCCGCTTAAAATTTTACCGTCCCTGCTGCACGAGATAGGTAGATATACTATAGACATGTAGAGGTACCTACGTGATAATAATTTATCATGGCCAATCGGGCGCCGCGAGTATGGTATTATACGTAATGTGCCTTGTTAAAATCAATTTAAAACAAATAAATAGGCCGGGTGTATACATTTTTTACGACACGAGCGGTGTTTGATTCGGAAAAGAAATATTAGATACCTGCGATGACAAAAAAAAAAAAAAAAAATTAAAAAATATTCGATTTCCCCGCAGGGTGATTATAGCATAACTAATGAAACCGTCGAGAGATTTCCCCTCATATCTCCTTAATTATATCATAAAAAAATATGTCACCGCGAGTCGACAAGTATTCCATTATTCGATATCCTTATTTATAGATAGCTGATACTCTAAAGATATTTCAACTAGCCAATAGACTTTTGTTGGAATTTGAGACGATACTGGTATTTTTTTTTAAATCGATTGTTAATAAATATAGTTTTAATATTTTAGTTAAGTTGGTTATTTCAAATGTCAAGTGTATTCATGACCAAAATCAGTCCCAAACTATAAATAATAATAATAAGAAGAAATATTCAAGAACTAATTAACTGTCATCCCCAAGAGATCTCTAACCTTTTAACGGAATTAACATAATTAATTTAGTATTATAAACAAATAATTTTTATTAATCTTCGTATTTGATAAACTCCATAAATTAGGATAATTTTTATTTATAATAAATATCTTCTTACATAGAACTTTTGTTATACTTATATCACCTTATATACTTTAATATTGAACGTAATTATTACATAGTTACTATGCATCACTTCATTAGGTATATCAATACTTAAACACATATTTTGTAAATAGTTTTACCTTTTATTTATAAAAATATTAACTGTAATTTTGTAAAAATACTTAATAAAATACCATATTATGTGTCGAAAAAATGTAGGGTAGGTATATTAAAATATTCATTAATTTAGTTGGGGTACGCGGTTCACTTACGCTTCTCTCTAAATCGCTCATTTAATAATCATGATGAAAAACCGATTGCCTTATATTTCGTTATTATTATTGTTGATCGCAATTCGTGACACGCAGTGATTTCGTTTGTGGGACGAGGGCGATGGAGGTCCCAGACTTTCGACCGATTAGACGATGCGGGTCTCCCGGCTGCCGCGTTCGCCGCCGTTTCGAGGGAGGTACGCCTGACCTCGACGTTGGGTTCGGGTCGTATCCGAAATCTGTTCACGATATCGTTCTGCACGCGAGCGTATAACGTTTTACTGGCGACTAACTGACGCTGAACGCATAACGTATATTATGTTCTATTTTGTCGTAGGTATATCGTATCTCGTATCATATACCTGTCCTAATATCATATATTATTTATTTATATCTGCTCATTGAATTGCGCATTTGGTCTGTTGCGCTGATACAAATATTTTACGCCTCTTCCCTGTGCGGTAGTGTTTGACGCGATTTATTTTTTCATATTTTTCCATGGATATTTCCGTGGTGGTTATTTGTGGCGTACGGGTGTCATATTTGCGTTCATATTTAATTTCTGCAACGATATAACTTAATAATGGATTTGACGTCATTGAAATTAATATAATATAAATGTATATGTAATATGTATATAATTTATATAATTCCTACGTCGGGCCATTTGAAAATGTGTGTAGTCGTATAGTGTATATAGTATAATGTATTTTGCACTAACGTCTCGACTCTCGACCGATTTATAGACTTTTTAGTTGTATAATCTCACTTATACGATTAAAGTGACAGATTCACTCGATAGAAGTGAGCTTATAATATGAGTTAGGTTTTAAATAAAATAGCGGTTTTATAATTGTGTGGAGGTAAAATGGAAATGAAACGTGTGTATGATGTGTGTTTCTATGCGCATTCATAGCTTTCTAAGTTCTAGTAAAACTGATATCTAGCAAAGGGGACGATTCGTATGAAAAACCATGTTAACATCTTGATGTTGGATCAATTTAATTAATCAATAGAATTTGATGTTCATATTATTAATGTAGGTTGTTGATCTTCAAACTAAGTGTGGACGATTGTGAATGACTTGTAATAATCTGTATTGTTTATAATAAATGATAATATTGTACAGTGTGGTTAAGAAATCTCGCTCATGGATTTTTTTTTGTACGGACCGTGCTAATAATAATTATTGTTTATCCAAAAATTACATACTAGGTACTGATATTATAGTGGCGAAGGGAAGTTTTTTGAAATACATTTAGATAAAGAAAGAAGTTTTTTTTGTGTGGGGAGGAGTTGTGACCCCTTAACCACTCTCCCGCTATACTGTTTGCGCGCCACTGATTGTATCATCTTAATTATCTTTGAGGTAAATAATATGTCTAAATGTGATTTTTTAGCAGTAATCCATATCATATTTATGCCATTAAAATGGAATTTTCTTATCAATATTTTTTGAAAAACAACTGTATATATCTATGTAATTAATTTCTATATAAAACACTACCTACAGACACAGTGATAAATTTTGACTGAATTGTTCGTTCAATTTTATCGTTTTATATGTCTAGTTTGCTGTGCATGTATTTTTTATTTCCTCATTTTGAATCGATAAATTTTATGTTAAATTTCCGTATTGTTGAAATTATTTAATACAAAATCACAGTTTAAATTATTATTATTATGTTCATACGTCGTATATACTCTTTAATATACTATCTGTATTACAAATATATCTAGTGCTTTTAGAAGGTTATTGAGCAAGACAAGAGTATAAGTTTTGAACTCTACTACTCCACTTGGTATCGATGATATTTTTGATTTTTCAATGATTCGATTTTGTTAAATATAATATTATATTAAAAATAAATTACTAAGAAATAAGTCAATAATAATAATGTTTGCATATATAATTCCTATGTGTTCAAGAAACGTCTGATTTAAAAGTGTAAACGTTTGAATATGAACGGAGAAGGACACAGTTATACTTTCCTGGTTAATATGTTAGAGAGTGGGTTGTATCCCTTTTATATTATGTGTACCGTACAGTGCATATGTACACTGTAAAGTTATGTATCATGTATGTAAACACATTACGTTATTAAGATGCAATTACTTTTATGCACGACCTTTGTGAGTCAGACCATTACGCTCTATTTGACTTTTCTATTCAGGACTATAAATTAACAGTACAATCAAACATACACAAACAATTATATTTACACTATACAGGGTGCAATAGAAATAACTAACAATCGATTACATTTGCTAGTTATTTCTGTTAATCCTGTACATTTTTCTATAGGTATATAGTGAAACCACAACGGTCTAATTCAAAGTCTCCAGAGACGATTTGGGATACCCCGAGTATTACTCGGGATGACCCTACATATTGCTTACTATTTAATACATATAGGTACAACGATATTCCCTAGGTGAATGTAAAACGTATTTTTCTTACACACAAACTTGGAGTGTACGAAACGTATGTATACATATATTGTACATTCTATGTTATAGTTCTAGTAGAAAAATTGGTCATTGTAAACACTGACTAAGCGTTGTACGTGCCTATACAAAATAAAATGCATGGAATATTTGAGTAGCATAAATTATTAATATTTTTTTCCACGTAGACTAGTCATTATATACAATGATAAAACTGGCGTGGTGTAACTTCTCTTAACACTAAGAACTAACTATAAAACGCTTTGTATATAATTTATAATTTATGAAACATAATATTAAACGTATATAAGTTTTTATTATAATTATGAGATTATTTTTTTTTTTATTGATTATGATGTATTGAGGGAAGTATATAAAAATAAATAAGAGACACAATTATGTTGTATTTGAACTTATGCAAATCATGTCAAGAAGCACAATTAAAAAGAGGTTATTGGTTAAATATATTATATATGATTAGAAATGAATTCATGTTGCCAAATAGACTTGATTGACGTGCAGACATAGTCTGATGGTGATTATACATTTTTTTTAGTCTACCAAGACTATTATTTAACCGAATTTGTGAACGTACGCACTTACTCATAATTCATAAACGTGTTAAGTATATTGCGTATGTATTATTGGATACGGGGAGATGCAAATTTAAAGCTGTTGGCGTTTTATGTAACTCCAAATGTCATAATGGCAACACATGACAAAATAAATAAGTATTTAAATGTATAATATTTTAATATTCACTACGATTTTTTTTGCGACACATGTAAAAATTAGTATACATTTTTTTTCACTTGGCACCGTCAGTACTGGCTATTGTATATAATGTCTAGTCTACATACATAATTATTCACATGGATTGAAAAACTTGAGCATTGTACACAACTACCAGTTAGTGTTTGCAATGACCATTTCTCCACTTGAACCGTAATATATATAGGTATATTTAAATGTATATTTGTATACCTATAGTTAATTTTCATTATACGCCTACATATACTATTTACGGTATCAGCCATATCCACGTAAACGTATATACTATGTGTATATGTGTCAACATATCATACATTATATTTGTAGTATTATATAGAGTGTTTATACA